CTCGCGCGTCTCGCGGGCGAGCCAGCGCTTGAGGTCGAGGAATTCCTTGGTGAGGATCTCGTCCTTGAGGAGGGCGAGCCAGCTCACGTCGAGGGTGTCGATCTCGAGCTGGAGGAGCTCGCGCTGCTCCGGGGTCAGGGCGTCCACCCACTTTTGCTTGTCGAACTTCGGGCTGCTGGTGGTGGTGGTGGCGGGTTCCGAGGCGGACGCCGAGGACTTGCTGCTGGGCGTGGAGGCGGAGGCGGCGGCCGGCTTGGGGGCCGCGAAGAAGGACATGATGTTGCCATTCTGCTTGGTCTTTTTGGCGTCGCTCCCGGCGGTCTGGTTCGCCGCCTTTCGCTTGAGGGTAGACATTATGGGGGCTGGGGACGGACGCCGCGCTGGGAGGGTGAGGGAATGGGCGTGGTGGGAGAGTAGCCGCGATCGGAGGGGGTTCCGGGTATTCTCGAGGAGGGAGGAGGAGGTTGCGAGGCGGAGGGATCCAAGGCGGCCGGGAATCGTGGCGGTCTGGAAAGACTCGAGAAAGAGGAGAGCAGAAACAAACAGGCAAGAACGAAAAGATGCCAATGCTAGACCGCTAAATCGAAATCCTTCCTCGAAGCACAACAGACCAGAGCAAGACGGGGTCGAGACGAGGAGGTGGAGTTGAGCTGGGGAGAGATGTGAAGAGGAGGCCAGAAACACGACCAAACCGACAACGACGAATTCTTCAGAAAAACAATGGCGGTCAAAAAACGGGAAACCAGCACGGAACCACCAAAAGATTGGCAAAAGATTTCGGTAGCAATCGAGTCCCGAGCAAACGCAACAAACAGCAGCCAGCAGGCCAACGGGAAGAAGACAGACACCACCCCCTGGAAGAATGGAAGCTCCCAGCCTGCCAGCGCGTGCCCTGAGCGTCCGTCCGTCCTTTTGCTAGGCGAGACGCGGTCTCGCCCCGATTTTTGGCGTCGTGCGCTGACGCGACGCTGCATTTCGTGTCTTTCAGGGGTTTTAAGTGGTTCGGCCAAGCGCCCTCGCGAGTTTCTCTTCCTCCGCTTCCACTTGTTCAACCACGTCGAAACCGGTTCTCGGGGGGCCAGGTGCATTTCCGAGCCTTTTTATTGCTTGAATGTGGTCTCGGCAAAGGGCTTCTCATATCTCGGACACTTTGCTCCTCATAGATACTCGGTATGGCCAAATTCCAATCCCTCGCGTCGACGTCGTCTTCAGGGGACGACCCACTAAATTTCCCTCCCCCAGCGCGCCTCACGCCTCGTTTCAGCCCCGCGTCACGCGGACTCGTGCTCTCATTCATGATTTGGGAGGATCTTGGTTCCTGCAAGCACTCTGGCCTAGCGATGGGCAGCATGCACCTCCGTCCTCTCGTTGCGCGGAACGAACCTCGCATCATGCGGGGGTCGACTGTGCTGCCTAATAGGGATTTATCCTCTTCTCTGGTTGGTGAACATGACGAAAAGATGTCAGCTTCCAAGGGACAGGCAGGAGGGACAGGGCGCTTCCAGTGGTTGCTTGCCTGGCTGCCTGCTGTGGTTGCTGGGAAGCCGCATCAGCCGGCGTTCAGGGGCTGGTCAACAAACGGACTCGGGCAATCTTCCACCGATCAAAATGTGCAAACCACAAAGAAGAGTCAACCTTCAGTTTACAGTGAGTGCATCGAGCTCGGTATTACTCTTTCCAATGCAAACCCCCCCTTCTATGTGCATTACGTTTTTACAACCCCGACGCTCCAGCTATGGAACACACACAATCCCCGATGCCAGTAGATAGGTATATACCCAAATGTCCCCATAACAATGATGGCGGCAACAAACGAAACCCACCACGGCAGCACCTAATAGTATACAATCCCCCCCATCTACAATTACACTCCCACCCCCCCCAAATCACCCCTTGTGCGCCATCCACGCCCAAATCCCCACCGCCATCCACACCGTCCGGTACGTCATCGCCCACCACTCGCTCATCGCCGTCCGGAACATCGACTTCGGCTTGGCGCTCGCCGCCTTCCACCTCGCCGCTCCGGGATACGGGTCCTCGCTCTCCGAGGGGATCTGGATCCTCGGCATCCGCGCCCCGCTCCACCCCCACCTCCCACCACCACCCCCACCCCCATGCTTGCCGTGCCCCTTCCGTCCACTGCCATTCACCTTGCCCCCCGGCGCAAACGACCCGCTGCGATCCCGCGTGTGCGAGATGTGGCTGGCCCGCGACGCCGAGAACCCCGCCGACGGCAGCGCGTACTCATCGTAATCATCCATCTTGGCCTTGAAGGTAGGGAGCAGGACCCCGCTGCCACCCCCCGCCAGCAGCTCCGGGTCGATCCCGAAGCGCGGGAGGCCGCGGTACGCGACGCGCAGGGCCTGCGCGCCGAGGAGGAGGATGGTGGCGACGCCGAGGACGATGTAGCGGAGGTAGGTGGCGATCTGGTCGGGCAGCAGGCACAGGTGCGTCTGCATGGTGGGCTGGCCGGCGCCGGCGAGGGGGCGGCCGCGCTCGTCGATCGGGTTGTACATGCTCACCATGAGGAAGCCCGGGCGCGAGACGCTCATGACCATGCTGAAGCTCTTGACCGTGATCTCGCGCACGTGGCTCATCGAGCCGTCGTGCACCACCTCGCAGTAGTCGTGGTCGTCGCCCGAGAAGGCGTGCACCACGTTGCCGACCTTGCGGACGAGGTCCATCGAGTCCTGTTCCGAGAGCACGTTGGAGTATTGGTAGCCGCGGGTGAGGGAGATGGCGTTTCGGGGGTCGGGGATGACGGGGTCGGTCTGCCCCTTGGGCGGCTTCGTGGGGGGCCAATGCTCGCGCTGTGGTCCGCACGGCGTCCCTGCTGGTCGGTAGAGGGGGACGTGCGTGAGCAGGATGGTGGGCAGCTCGGGGGCGTCCTCGCCGAAGCTCTCCTTGTCGCCGTCAAAGTTGGCATCCTCCAAATCCTCAATCTTGTGCTTCGCCCTCGGCTCCTGGACCTCCCCCCTCAGGAACCGCAGCTCCTTCTCCACCGCCTTCTTCTTCGCATCCGGCAGCTCGTTGAGGAAAATATGGCTCGGCATGTAGATCGGCCGCAGGTCGTGCCGCCCGGCCTCGTCGGAGCTGGCAGCGCTCATCGAGACCGTGTCGACCGAGACGATGGTGTGGTTCCCAATGACATCCACCCTGTTCCCCGGCCCAAAGAAGGCCTCGAACCGATCCCTCACGGCGACCTTGACGTCGGCCCCGAACCCCAGATCGTGATTCCCCGGCAGGCTCGCCACCAGCTTCCTCCTCTTCTGCATGGCCTCGGGCGTCTCCCCGGCCGTCACCCACGGCGGGAAGAAGATGCTGCCGAAGCGCGCATACTCCCTCAGCCAAAAGTCGTCGCCGTACTTCTTGCGCCACTTCTTGACGTATCGCTGCTCGTTCTTGGGGTGCTTCTGGCTCCACTCGGCATCGGCAAAATCGCCGTGGCTCGTCTTCCACTCCCTCCCGCCGTCAAACAGATCCCCCAGGAAGAATATACTGTCGGGCTCCAGCTGCTTGTTAACCTCCCTGTACCCGCGCCGGAGGTAGTTGTCGCTAATCAGCACCGTCAACGAGCTCAGCGGCCACGGCCGCCCAGGGTACGAGTGCGGGTCGACAATCTGCGGGTCCGCGACGAGCACGAGGCGATGGGGTTCCGCGCCGTGAGGCTACAATCCCAGGCATTAGCAACCCTCCAAACCACCACCACCCCTCTCCCAAGACAAACTCACCCATCTCTCCCACCCCTCCCACCGGCACTCCTCCACCGCCCACCCAAACACCCACCGCTCCCCGCGCAGCAGCACCACCAGCCACGCCGCCACCAGCAGGTGCGGCACGCTCAGCACCCGGTGCGGCACCAGGTTCAGCCGCAGCCGCCGCCCCGCCCGCACCGCCTGGTCCGCCGCCATCTGCCGCCCGCGCTCGTGCCACCACCGCACCAGCGCCCGCGCCGCGCGCGCCACCAGCGCCCGCAGGTCGTCGAGCACCGACGTCGCGTCCGAGTCGCTCCGCCGGTGGTGGTGGTGGTGCGCCGCCGCGTAGCCTCCGCCGTACCCGCCGCCGTGGCCGTTGTAGGTCCGGAGCGCCATGGTCTTGGTCGTTACCGGGGCGCCGCGGCCATGCCCCGGGTCTCTGTCTGTCTCGGACGGTGGAAGGGTCGTAGAGTCTGGGGCGTGCGCGTGTGTGTGTTGTATTTCCCGTCGGTCGGTCGGTCGGGGGGGGTGAAGTCGGGGTCGCGCGCGCGCGCAACGTCGGGGGTTCGGTCGTTCGTTCGTTCGTGACACCAACGACACCGGCCGGCTGGGACTGGTTGTCGAGAAAGCGGGTAAAGGGAACCAAAAATGGCTGGCTGGCTTGAAGAAGAAGAAGGGGGATGGGTAATTAACGAGCGACGTATGCCAGTCAGGTTCGTGCCGTGGCCGTAGTTAAAGGACGGCTTCGGTGGAAGCGACAATTTAAGAAATTCGGGAAGAGGAAAGAAGAAGAAGAAGAAAAAAACCCGCCGTCCGTGAAGGAGCTGGTTGGGGATTCTGTTGATCTCGGAGCTGAAAGCTGACAGGCAGGCAGGCAGATTGATGGACGGGCGCAGGTCAATGCCAATGTTGGCCTCTGGCAGCTGGTGGGCTGGGCCGCCACGGTTCTTGGCAGCTGGAGGGCGGCATCGGGCCAATTGAACCAGGCACCAGGCGGCTGTCCCCTGAATTGGACGACCCCTTTTTCTGTCAGCAGAGCTTCGAGGCCGCAGGTAAAAAAATAAGGGAATGAAATGAATGGCCTTGGTCAATGTTGTCCATGGGATTCAAGCACATGGGAATGGAGATTCCGGGACTGGCAATCACGAGGTACAAGGCATATTCCCGCTGGCATGGTGTCCCCAGCAAACAACTTGAGCCCCTGGCCCCTGAACCTCGTCGTACAAAACTCCAAAATGTTTCTCTTGGTCATGGATTCAGTTTGCCATGTCGACATGAAGATGTGGGGAGCAAAAAGTAACAGATTGACAACTGTGAGATTCGAACTCACGCCCTTTCGGACCACGGAACTTATCTTGAAGATCAAGATGTGTGATTAAGGATATCTCCTTAACGTGGCGCCTTAGACCGCTCGGCCAAGTTGCCTGTTGATTGATGGGATGGGAGTGTGGAAGTACCCCTGAAGGCCCAACGCCTAGGACCACGATAGGAATCGAATCGAATGGGACTATATACAAGCTACAAATGTTGTCCCAAGATCATATAGACCGTCCATGATCGATCCAATCCGTGAAAACAAACAGCAGCACCCGCTTCAGGACCCGCCTATTATCGTCGATGTAAGAAAGATGCCCCTGAGGTTGTGAACCCCAAGGACTAGGAGTCCACCTAAAAGATCCATGTAAACGACTCCTTGACCTCAAACGGAACCGAATACCTGCCCAACACGTTAGCAATCCGACCATCAATGTAAGAAGGAATAACAACTCACTTGATATCCCCCGCCGACGCCCCCACCAACACCTCAAACCGTCCCTCCTCGGCAATCCACTTCCCAATCGCCGTGTCAAAGTACCCAACCGCGTACTGATCCAGCCAGATCCTCAGGTGCTTCGTCTCGCCCGCCTCGAGCACCACCTTCTCAAACGCCACCAGCTCCTTCTCGGGCCGCGGCAGCCGCGACTTCTCGTCCCGGACATACAGCTGCACCGTCTCGGCCCCGTCGCGCTCGCCCACGTTGGTCACGGCCACCGTGAGCTCGATGCGCTCGCCCTGCCGCAGCACCTTGGCGCTGAGCGAGGGCCGCCCGTACTCGAACTGCGTGTACGAGAGCCCGTGGCCAAAGGGGAACAGCGGGGGCACGCGCACGCGGTCGTAGTGCCGGTAACCGACGTAGAGGCCCTCGCCGTATATGACCTCGAGGTTCTCGCCGGGCCAGTTGTGGTAGGCCGGTGTATCTTCGAGGCGCTTGGGAAACGTGCACTATCAACGGGTCAGCGGCTGGGAGGAAGGGTGGGCGGGGTTGGACATACCGGCAGCTTGCCGCTGGGGTTCTTGATACCAAACAAGACGTCAGCGAGCGCATTTCCCGCCTCCTGGCCCTGGTACCAGGCCTGGAGAATGGCCGGTACCCGATCCGCCCAAGGCATCGTAACCGGCGATCCGGATTGGTTCACGACCACCGTGTTCGGGTTGGCCGCGACGACGGCCTCAATGAGTCGGTCCTGGCTTCCGTCCGATGGCAGGTCCATCGTCTGGCGATCGTAGCCCTCCGACTCCCACTCGGCATCCAAACCGACAATCACCACGGCAACATCAGCCGCCTTGGCCGCGTTGACAGCCTCCTGCAGGTAGTCGATCTGATCCTCCTCCTTGAAACCGATCCGGCAGCCGCCGTATTTGTGCGTCATGTTGAACTGCTTCTGCTTGCTCAGCGGTCGTAGCTCGTTGGTCATCTCGATGCGCAGTTCCACCGGCCTGTTGGCCTCCATCTGGATTTCCACCAGATAGTCGATCGATCCGTCAAACATGGCCTCGCCCTCCTCGGTCCAGTCCCACAGATCCATGGCGAGCTTGCCATCAACAAACAGTCGTCCTGGGCCGACGGTCATGTACGAGACGGTGTGCTTGCCCGTGGTCGTGGCCGTAAGTCTTGTCGTCACAACCGCCGACCACTCCGGTCCCACCTCAGCCAGGGGGGCCGAGTCCCAGAGGAACAAGTCCGTGTTAGTCCGTTTCTGAACGAGGACCGGCTGTCCCTCAAACTTGTCCCCCTTGTACCAATCAATCGTCACGCCCTGCTGCCCTGTCCTGTCAGTGCAGAAAGACGACGCCAATGGAAGCCACTTGTGAATGTGGCATCCGAGTGCGTAAGTGACGGGTTGCTGAGCAGCTGCCCGGATACTGTCGAGAGGCAGCGTGTTGTAGTAGGGGTTGAGGCTGGCGCTTCCACCGCCTCCTGCAATAGCCCGGTTGGCGTTGGGGCCAATGACGGCAACCTTTGCCGTCTTGGGGTTGATGGGCAGGATGGAACCTTCGTTCTTCAGGAGGGTGAGTCCTTGAACGCCGGCCTCGCGAATCAAGTTCCTCGTCTCTTCCCTGTTGTCTTCCCTTTCCTCGGCCTCTGCAGACAAGTCACTTCCCTTGGTCCGCTGGACGAGGGTGAGGACATTCTCGGCCGCTCTGTCGATATCGGCTTGGGTGATCTTTCCCTCCTCGAGTGCCTGCATGACCTTTTCGAATCGCCACTTTGTCGAGAAGGGAAACTCGACGTCGCACCCAGCTGCCAGAGACTCCGCCGTGGAATTCGTACCTCCCCAGTCCGAGATAACAGCCCTGCAATAGAAGTTAGCGAGTCTCTAACAAAACCGGCTGGTAGGTCGGTACTTACCCATCATACTTCCACTCTCCGCGGAGAATGTCCTTGAGGATTTTGGGGTTCATATCGGCATGAAGCCCGTTCACAAGGTTGTAGGACGACATGAGGGCCCATGGCTTGGCCTCTCGAACGGCAATCTCGAATGGGCGGAGGTACAGCTCGCGCAACGGTCTTTCGGCAATTTTGGAATCGACTGTCAACCTGTTCGTTTCCTGTTCGTTACCCACAAAGTCTACCGTGGTGTCAGTTTCACGCTCAAAGCTTCTTGCAGATTGATAGTACTGACGCTTGATCGTGGCAGCAACGCCCCGCTCTTGGAGACCCTGGATGTATTTGGCAGCCAGCTTTCCGGTCAGAAGAGGATCCTCCGAGAAAGACTCAAAGTTCCGCCCCCCAAGTGGGTGCCGGTGCATACAAACAGTTGGCGCGAGAAGCACGTTGGCTGACCGCGCCTTGGCCTCCTCGGCCAGATGTTGACCGACTTCGTGGAGGAGATCCTTGTTCCACGTTGCCGCCAGCGAGATGCCACAGGGGAAGAGGGCGGCCTGGAGTAAATGTGAGCATATGGCTTGGCACAAACTTGTCTTTCCGACTCACCTTCGTCCCGCCCACAAAAATGCCACCGCGGGCACCGTTTGGTCCGTCACTTGTTTTTACTGCTGGGATATTCTTGGAGGGGATGGCCTTGGTCCTCCAGAAATCAGCAGCAGTGAGCAAGGAAATCTGTCCCAAAGTCAATCATCATTGCCTGAAGGGTCGTCGAAAAGAGCGCGGCATACCTTCTCTTCCTGTGTCAACATGGACAGCTTGTTCCTCGCAAGAAGTCTGGGGCTTTTCAAGGGCGGGAATTGCTGGAATGGGCTCTCGGGAGGCGAGAATTCGGTGTCCGGCGTCGTGTTGGTGTCTATGCTGCCGATGGGTGACGCATTTGGGTCGATGTCGAGGGGCATATCAGCCGCCTCGACGTGAGAGAAAGCTGCCATTTCAGTTTCCCTTGGTGCTCCGAACCCTCTGTATCTCCGAGCCTTGCCTCTGGCAAATATCTTGGGCCGAAGGATTTCGAAAAGCCAGTTGGGCTTGGGGTTTGCAACCGAGAATCGAGGAAGACGTTTCGCGGCTTCTTAGCTTGCCTAGAATTTTAAGTGACCCAAAGACAGGGAGGGGGGGGGAGACGGATGGTATAAGAGGCCGGTGTGTGCGGCCCAAGTAGGCATATATGAAAACAACACCACCCAAGCGGCTTCCGAGCATTACCCACCGGAGGGCATCAAAACGGTATAGTGGGGACTTATACAGCTCGTTTCATCAAGGGACAAAGAAGGATAGCGGGATACTTAACGGAGGAGGGTCCGTCCAAGAAGCAGGGACCCTGCCTATCTAGACTGTACCTTCACTTGAGAGAGGTGTTCCATCTGGCCAAGGAGCAATATGAGACGAGATGCAACCAGGTTTGGCAGACAGTGGATTTGGAAAGCTAGCAGAGCATCGGGGAAAGTTAAATGGACGGGGGTGTTCGTCGTGGCACTCGCCGTAACGCCTTATCACTTGACAAGGGCGTTCGTCCGCCACGCTCGTGCTACTTTCGCAGAGTAACGCGGGGTGGAAATGGCCATCCGGTAGGGGCGGACCGTATGAGCCGTAGCACCTCTTTGGTGTCCTGCTAGGGCTGCGAGACGGGGCGGATGGTGTGCCGCCCTGGAGAGCGGCTCTCGAAAGCGAATACACCACGCCCTAATTAAGCCGAGTGTGGGGTGAAGATGCTGTGGGTTGGCTGACATGGGGTGGAGGATCAACAGAACTGGAGAACTGCCAAGTCGAAGCCATCGCGCCGGAGTCTGGACGGTGGCAGAGTGGAACGTCTGCTACTTGATCGGATGGCGCTAAAATAAATCGCGGCCATGGTCCTCCCGCATCCACCTTGGCCCCCCAGGTTCGAAGAGAGGACAGAAGGCTCCCGTACACGATGTTGTGTAAAGAGTCTGAAAGGGTCCGGACGACAAGATCGGCGGTCTGTACGCCAGGATGGAGGCCGACAGGCGTCTGGACCTTGAAGTTCAGCCAGGAGAGGCATGGTGTTGAAGAGGTGCATGGCATGCATGGAACCACGGGAGGCTCGCAGTGGCTCGACAGAGGGTGGCAACAGAAACAAGTGCCAGGCCGTTATCAATCAATCTCCCGTTGGGCTCGGTGAATCGTATCTGAAGGTGGGGGCGAATAAGCGCATGTAAGAGTAAAGAGCAGTGGAAGCAATCGGCGATCCCTGCGAGACGGAGCTGCTGTCGACATGGCATAGTCTCCCGGGGCTTGTGGTGTCTGGAGAAACGGCGTCGAAAACTGTATCTCCATGGTGAGCTTCCGGGTTCCGAACCAACGGGCCATGTCCCAAGGTCGGTTCGGTGCCTGGGTATATTCTTCGCCACGACGCCGACTACGCCCGCGAACCTAATAAACCTGAGACTGGCTCGAGACTGGTCCGCAAGGCGTGAAAGAGCACCGATCCTCGCGGTCCATCTGGTATGTGTCCACAGGGAGAATCTTCCCAAACGGACAAGCGGCCTGTCCCTCGACCTTTGATGCGGACCACCACGACTGGCTCGGGGGCGTCGACGTCGGCGAGTTCACCGGCGTTTCGGACAAATATCCAAGTGGTGTCCTGCGTACCTGCAGGGATGATTCGGCAGCTTGAAGAGGCATGTGGAGTGGCAAGGTTTTCGCTTGTGACGGGACCACGGCCCGATCTCCTCCAAGGCAGTGGGTCGGGTCCAACGGAACGGCCGGGTCACACACGGCGCCGATCGACAAAGCCCGGCGCGGCCGGCTGCCATGCTTTGGCTCATATATCCGGCCTTGGTTTGGTCTCGCTTGATGGGAAATGGGCATGCCTGAGATGGCCCATCCGGAATTGCCCTTTGCCATCGGGATGCTTCATGCTGCAGTGTTTGATGTTTGAAGATGGTGATCGACAACGTCGGACCATCGGCGATCGCTTGCGTATGACCGTGACGGTTAAATGGTATTGCGGCTCTCCGCCCGAAGTGATGCTTCTTGGATGTCCTCGGCATCAACGCCAGAGGAGGGCAAGAATCCCATCCATCTCTCAACATCAACCCGCCCCCGCGGCCAGCATTAGTCGGGGCTGAATTCAATGTGCCAGAGCCCGGGAACTGCAGTCTGCAGCCACCCTCCCACGTGCTGTTTAGTGTCTGACTGGAGTCCAACCTCGTGGTGGTGTTTAGGGCGTAGGATTGAGACAGCGGGATGGCTCCGCTCGATGTCTGTCGGGAGTGAGATCCGACGTTCCAACGCATATTCATATTGTGGAGAAGAGGACCACCGGGAACAGGATCGATGCCTCGAGACGCCATGTGGGAATGAAGGCCAGGTGAGATATTCTGTGGTGGCAGTGCCGGCGTCGGTTCGTCAAGCATGGCGACCACGGAGTGATGGCGAAGTTCTCTGGGATGTTCGAGTCTCTGTGACGAACGCCGAATGTCCGTGGCAGCCTCAAATAGGGATTCAAAAATGGCATGTCGTCGAGGTGGTGAGGTGGTGTCGTCGGGGCAGACAAACGGGCGGCCGGTGATGCGACGTCGACAGTCGGTGACAGCAAATCGGAGAAAATGCGGATTCAAGCTTCAGGGCAGTCAGCCACCGAAACAGCCCCAAACCCTTCTGGAAATGGTGGGGGTTGTGTCGAAGCCGCCCGTGGTCACGGGCTCACGATGCTTTTGGGCAGGGGTGGGAAGGAGCAGAAGCAAACGCCCGTCCACCCCTGTTTTCCCCTAAAGGTCCACCTCGTCAACAAGTTTCGCCCGTGACTGCTGTTTCTATCCTGATCATGGTGTCACTGTCTATGCCATATCCAAATCCGATTTTGTCATATATCTATATCAACATGAGAACTTTACACGATATGGATTATTACTCCAAAATCTCCGACTGAAGAAGCTCTACCTTTGAACAAACTCGGTTCGGCATTCTCCTTCCCAGATGGGCCACACCTGGCGCATGTTGTTGACAAGATGCTGACCACCTTTAGGTTTTGCAATGGTGTCCGGCCTGATTACACCTCCCGTAATTCCGAAGATCCTGGTACGGCTCTTGACGATGGGTTGCAGATGTCACTCTGAGTCCGGGACCCCGTTCTGATGCCCACCGACATCGAGATGCCCATCAACATCGGGGTGCCCAAAGGGGTTGGTTCTCCCGCCCCATTCCCAGCTCGCCCAAGCCAAACGAACCCTCGAGATGGCCATCTTGCGTGCTGCAACACATGTGAGGTTACCCCCATGCCCGACGGTCATGTGGGCTTTGCCGTTGCATCCTGGCGGGATCTCTTCCCGATGAAAAGCTGCAACCACTCCTTCGTAGGGCGGAGGCCACGGCATTCTTTCACATGTACGGATTACTTTTGTGGAAGATACAGTAGCCCAAGCACCCCGTGTGTGGAGGCCCAAGACATCTATGACAAACGCAAAGGGCCGACGGGGAATTCAAATCGAAGGTGAGCTAGGGCACAGAGAAAGCTCCGGGTTGAGCACCAGAGGGAGACAATCATCCATGATGATGTTGTGTAAAAAGGAGCCATGGCCTTGTTTCGGTCGATTGAACACCAGTACCATAGAACATTATCTAAGTGGCTTGTCTTTATCTTGGACTCTTTCTCAACATGTGTATACATACCTACTCTCTATATAGTCAGCCGAAACCCGAGATTCTTCAGTCCAACCCGAAGCGCGGTGACGCCGTCGTTGAAAAGAACCCTGAGCAAGAGCCACACCATGCTTACCATATAAGCCAGATTAGCAAAAATAGCAAAAATAGCAAAAAAAAGTCCATCAGCAGCTGGAAACCTCTTCTTCCCATGACATCGACGGTAGTATGCCCAGTAGGTGCATGGCCCCCATTGATGCATAGGTACCTCCCGGCGATCTCACTGGAGGCCCACTTCTACCCTCCCACCCAACCAATCACAGCCCGCAAAACAATTTCAACCCGAACCTCGAAGCTCCAGCTTTTCGCACCTTGCAAGCCGCCCACCATCCCAGCCCGGGGCCATCGTCGTCGTCGTCAACCCGGCCGGTGTCTCAACACCCACCCACAACACAACCATGCAGCGACAAGCCGCCAGAGCCGCCCTCGGGCGCCGCGCCCTGGCCCTCGACAGCGCCTGCGCCGCCGCGACAACCACAACCACAACAACCACCCCCTCCCTCCACGGCCGCCAGCCCTTCTCCACCTCCACAGCCCTCCGCGACGACGACAACGAATTCAGCCGCGGCCCGCCGCCGTCAGCCGACCGCCAGCGGTCCCAGCACGCCGCCCAGCGCCTCGGCCAGCTCAGCTCGTCCAACTCGTTCACCCGCCCCGCGGGCTTCGTCGACGCCCGAAACCTCCGCAACGAGGCCGGCGCCCCGGGCGACTCGTCGAGGATCATCAGCATCCGTAGCCTCCGCGGCCGGGGTGGGTTCGGCAGAGGTGGGATGGGTGGGGACCGGGGGGGATTCTCGAGGGGCGGGTCGTTCGGAGGTCGAGGCGGGTCGTTTGGAGATGGAGGCGGACGGGGCGGCCGGGGCGGCCGGGGAGGCAGGGGTGTCCGGGGAGGCAGGGGTGGCCGGGGTGGCCGGAGAGAAAAGAAAATGGCACCTAAAAAAAAATCGGAAGAAGCCACCGTTTGGTCGGATGCGGAAAAGGCTGTCATGGACAGGGCCGATCAGGGCATCGTGAGGGAGTACGTGCCGACGGTGCAGATGAGGGACCTCTCCGGGTACGGCGCGGCGGTGGCGACAGACACGACGCTGGGCCAGGTCGAGACGGCGCTGCGCACGATGCGCATCATGGGCGGCGGCAACGCCTTCAACTCGGACGCCGGCGTGACGGTGGACGGGGACGCCGTGCGCCACCGCTACTTGCACGAGAAGAAGCCCGTCTTCTTCAACACCATGGAGGAGAGGGACTGGGCCAAGAGGGCCGCCGGCGGCCGCGGGTTCTCGGCGCCCGACGCCTCGACCAAGAAGGCCATCATCGACCTGACCATTCGGGGCCAGTACGAGGCCCCCGGCTACGCCGACGTCACGGACACCATGGGCACCATAGCCAACTACCACAACAGCACATTCTCCTACACGGGGGCACACTCCGAAGCCTTTGTCCAAAAGATGAAGTCCTTGCTGCCTATCGACACAACCGCCCGGCCAGCCGACGAGGAGGGGAAGCAGAAGAAGCTGCCATGAGAGGGCGGGCGAAGGATAGACGTGCCATAGACGAATTCCAGTCCATATACCCGCGCAGCGCGAGGCAACAGCGCCTCGGGGACGTGGATTCTCCCAAATGTACCACTACCTTAGACATACTGTACAAGCAAAGCCGGGACCCATCTCTGCCTCGTATCCTCGTGCCCCCGCTCCGTCCTCATCCCTTGGCCGCCACAAACTGCAACAACTCCTTCTCCTTCTGCGCCACCACCTTCATCCGCTCATCCTGCATCTTCTGCACCATGCCCTTCAGCCGCGTCAAGTCATCCGCCACAATCAGCCCCTCGGCCCTCCACTTCTTGTTCACCTTCTCGCGCCTGTGCGCCTCGTCGCGCAGCCGGTCCCGCCACGCCTGGCACTCGGCCTTGACGCGGCGCGCCACCTCCTCGGCGCGCTCCGGCTCCACCGTCAGCACCAGCTCCAGCGGGTTGTCCTCGCTGCGCTGCGGCTGCTGGTTGAACGCCTCGCTGCGCTGCACCGCGCTCATGATGGCCTTGACCGACGCCTCCTCGAACGCCAGGATGCTCCACCGCCGCCCGCCCACCGCCGCCACCGTCGCCAGCTCCCGCAGGGGGAACGTCGCCGCCGACCCCCGGTCCGCCTGCACCGGCAGCGCGCCGAGCGCCTCGGCGCTGAAACGCCCGCCCTGTCGGATCTGCCGGAGCACGTCGCCGAATCGCTGGTCGGCCTTGTCAAACGCCGAGGTGAGGTCGCCGAGGTCGAAGGGGTCCGAGGGGTTCGGTTGCGGGCCGCCGCCGCCGCTGGAGTCTTTGCTGCTGCTGCTGCTGCTGCTGGGCGCGGGGGCGGATTTGCTGGTCTCTTTGGCGTCCTTGCCGCCGCCTCCGCCGCGGTCCTTTTTCTTGAGCTGGGAGGGCGTCGTGGAGAAGGGGCGGGCGCCGGCGGTCGTCTGGGGAGCGAGGACGAGGAATCGTGGTCGGACGCCGGCGCTGCGGGACGATGTCAAGCCGGTGCTGTGCGTGGTAGAAAGAAGGTCAGTCTGGTGAGGACAAGGTCAATTGGGACGGAAACGAACCGTGCAAGCGGCGCGCTGGTGCTGCGCAGCAGCGCATTGGCGGCCCGGACGGTCTTCATGGCGGAGGCTGCTTGCTGTCTGGACTCTGGAGCTTGGTTGTGTGCCGCCGTCAAGGTTTGGTGTTTGAGCTTGAGCTCCCCCCCCCCACCGCAATTGTGATTTGCTTGGCGAGGGGTTGGGCAGCTCCGCTGATGGGCGGTGATCTTGTCATGATTCCCCATCGATTCACCCAATCAGGTCGTGTGGCTTAGTGGTTATGGCATCTGCTTTACAAGTTCTTCGAAAGAAGAAGTCAAAATCGCAGAGGATCGCAGGTTCGATCCCTGCCACGATCAATTTTTTGGCTCCTTGATATATGCATCGCCCGGATGGCAGGATGTTGAGGGAGGACTGACCTCTTCGAGCGGGAGAAAGCATCACCCCTTTTTTTGTCTTCTCAAAGACCCAGTTTCAGGGGTAGTCAACAACCCGACGATGTTTGTCGTTGAACATCTCTGCCGGGATCATGGCGAAGGACAACCTTCCCAAACACTACCCCTTCCCTTAGTTTTTGGTATCTCTCTATCCATGTTCGGGTACAGTGACCTTTTCTCTATCCCTAGACCTCCCAAACCTCCATCCCAACCCCTCCCACCATCAACCTCCCCGGAGCAATGACCTCCACATCCCCCGGGTCCGCCACCGAGCTATACCTATTCTCCAGCATCGCGACGGCCATCCCACCCCCAACCTTCCTCCTCACCCTCCAAACCTTGACCCTCTGGTCGTTACTCACAGTCGCCACCTCCGTCACGCCCCCCTCAGCCCGGACCACCCGCAGTCCCGTCACCGCCGCCGCGTGGGCGCTCCTGACGCGGGACTTGCTCGCCACGACAAAGCCCTCGCCCGACCACACCAGCTCGAGGAACCCAAGGGCGTTATCGTCACCTCCCGTAACGACCAACCACCCGGACCCCGACGCCGCGAGATCCAAGCTCTTGACACTGCTCTGATGCAACCTCTCCACCGTGACCAGCTCAAACTCCCCCAACCCTCCCCCCTCCCCTCTCCTCGACACCCAAACCCCCACAAACCCATCCGTCGCCGCCGTCAGCACCCAAACCGCCCCCTCCTCCACCCTCAGATGCCGCACCTGCGTCAGACACGCCCCCGTATACCTCCCCGTAGCACGCAACCCAAACCCCCCCTCCCCGGTGTACAAATACGTCCTAACCGTCGAATCCGACAACCCCAACGACACCACCATCCCCCCCTCCCCCTCCCCCCCGACAACATCCAACCCAACAACCCTCAAATCCCCCCCCGCCGTCCGATCCGGATACACCGCCTCGCACACCACCGCCAGCATCCCCGACGTCCCCCCCAACCTCTCCACCCGCCACACAAAAACCTCCTCGTTCCCCGCCGTACTAACCAGCCACCTCCCGCCCCCGCCCCACGCCAGCGCCTGAATCCCCGCCGTATGCCTCTCCAGCACTGCCAGGCACCGGAACCCCCGGGGTCCGAGGTACTCCCATATCCGCACCGTCGTGTCCTCCGCCGCCGTGGCCACGTACGCCCCGCACGCCGCGACGGCGCGGATCTCGCGCCCGTGGCCGCCGGGCTGCAGCGCGCGGACGGCCGGGCGCGGCTGGGAGAAGAGGTGCAGGTGGGCGTGCTTCTTTGTGAAGACGAGGGCGAGACGGCCCGGGGCGTTGGGGTCGGAGACGTGCGCGAAGGGGCGGTGGGCGCCGCCGCACTCGATGGTGGCGAGGGGGGTGCGGGTGGTTTCGTTGAAGGCGACAAAGTTCTTGCCGCGGAAGCCGTGGAGGATGAGGTGCGGGACGGGGGTGGGGGTGAAGAAGGCGCCTTCGAGGGTGGCGAGCGGGGGGGAGGTTTGTTCGTGCTGGAGGTGGAGGGTCGGGGAGGGGGCGGTGGGGAGGATGGTGTAGATGCGGTAGCGGCCGTCGCGGCAGGTGGTGAGGAAGGAGGTGGTGGTGGTGGTGGTGGTGTGGGGGAGGGGGAGGATGCAGGTGATGGAGTCCTTGGAGGGGCAGTCCTTGCGGGAGACGAGGGGGACGAAGGCGGTGGGGGTGCGCTGGTAGAGGGTGAGGAGGCCGACGCGGGAGCCGACGACGAGGGTGCCGTCGCAGAGGCTGGCGGCGGTCATGGCGTAGTTTTGGTAGTCGTCGTCGAATTGGATGGTCCGCGGGTCCTTCCAGGACGCTCCCGTGGAGGGGTTGTAGTTGAGCATGATGGCGTGGTTGATGCCGAGGACGGTCACGAGGGCTGTGAGGGTCTCGGGGACTTTGGCGTCGGGGGGTTGGTGGACTCCTTGGGCGCCGCCCAGGCAGATGATGTCGGTGATCTTGCTGGGGAAATGGGCGAGGTTGGTGAGGCCGTGGGATCTTCGGTAGAGATACATCTTTCCGCTGGCGCCTCCGAGGACGGCCATGTCTCGTGCTGGGCTCTTGACGACGTTGTAAGAGCTGAGGTCAGCCCTGGTATCTTCTGTCGTCGCAATCTCCTCCCACACGACAGGATCCTTCACTGTGCCCAGAAAGAGTCTCCCCGATACAGAGGTAGCCAGTACCGTGGTTTCCGAAATAAACGCATACCGGAGAAACCCATCCTTGGTGGGCTTCTTGGGCTGTGTTTTAGGCTCGGCAGCGGGATCCGACTGAGGTTTCCCGTGGACGAGTTCCGTGACCTCTTCGAGAGAAAAGCTGGCGTTGACGTCTGAACCCGAGCCATGTTCCCCATCCAAGAGCTGGCCTTCGTCCCCTTGATGCCCATCAGCTTTCACATCGCCCGAGATGGCAATCTTGCCGTCCGCCCCCCCAGACACCACCAGCGGCGACGTGTTCCCCACGGCCACAGCAGCCGCCCACACATTCTTTCCACTGTGTACCGCGCTGATCCCACAGTTGGTCAGCGTGCCCACCAGAGCACCCTTCGATGACAACGGCCCTCCCACTCCCGCGCCGTTCGTCGACACACCAACAGCCAACTCCCACCTCTGCCGCGTGCAATCCTCTCCAAACGAAAACACCTCCACCTTCCCCGACGAACAGTCCACTTGCCCAGAGAACTTGACATGCCAAATCCTCGAGATATGCCCCATCGCCACCGCCACACACCTCGCCGAGTCGGCCTCATGCGCCGCCGACTTGACCTCGGAGTTTGCCCCGAACCCCGTCTCGCGGGCATCCCCCAGCGTCCCCGGCTGCGGCGCGGCGACATCACCCCCGACAGCCGCCCGGCGGTCCGTAATGTCCCAGACGCGAATCGTCCTGTCGTCGCTGCAGCTCGCCAGCAGCCTGGCCTTGACGCCGCCCGGGGCGATCTCCAGCTCGGGGGAGATGGAGACGCCAAAGATGGAGCCCTCATGGCCGGCGAAGACGAAGAGGAGGTCCCACTGCGCCGACGACGCCGGCCGGGTGGTGGTGGCGTCTAGGTGGTACTTCCATACGATGATCTCGCCGAATACGGTGCCGCCTGCGACGAGGATGCAGTCTGGGGACACGAGGCAGAGGTTGGCGGAGTAGAGGATGGGTCGGGACGGGGAGGTGAGGGGGCCGAAGGAGGTGCGGCCGGCGGCGTCGGTGGACAGGGGGATGATTTCGTTGTGGGCTGTGACGAGGGCGCCGGAAGCGTGTGGCGAGGAGAATAGGATGCCGTCGTAGATCCAGTCGGCGGTTCGGAGCTCTGTTGGGGGCGAGGGGGGGCGGCCGTCGATCAGGCTTTGCACGGCAGCTTGGGACAAGACGGCTACGGACTGGCCGCCCCAGAGGAGGATTCTTGCTGTTTCGTCACTAGGTGTGCCCTGTACTTCGGAGGCGTAGATGCCGTGGATGGGCTGCGAGTGAAAGATGTTGAGCTGGCTGAGCAGCTGGTTTGTCGCGACATCAAAAACCTTGAGCCATGTGTCTTCGGCAGCAAGAACAAAGACTCGTCCAGAGGCATCGTTGTAGAATGCCAGGGCGGTTATAGGGCTGAGGAGATAGTTGCGCCGCAGGCGCCCCTCGGCACCTTCCCGTCCCTGCAGGAACCGTCAGTGAGGCCATCACGAGATGGGGGACCGAGGGTGAGGGGTGAGTCATGAGGGTTGAGAATTCGCACCTTTTCATCCATTGGAAAGAAAAATGGAAAATATGTCTTTACACAAGGGACTCCAGAAGCATCTTGTATTTTTCGGGGAATCTTTTGCCAGAAAATGACCGTTTTATGTGAGATCTGTTTGGATTAAAGTTGGTGTTTCTCAGTCGAGACTGCAGTTTTCGAAACTGCCTGGTGGGCTTCAGGCAGTGAACCCTAACCCCCTCCATCCGGAAACCTGCACATGGGAGTCCATGTGAATGCAAAGCACCCAGCAATGCAAAGAAGTTGATATCCCACATGTGCATTGGCCCATTTGGCTCCTGCATCTTGACATGTCAAGCGATGCTGTCTCGTGGTCCCCTTTTCAGGGGCACCCCTTTCGCAAAGGGACTTGGAGCCAGGCACAGAATCAGACCAAGAAGTCAAGCTGAGTTCATAAAATATTGATTCATAATTCTTCGTTAATTGTAGTCCCATTTCTATCCCGCTTCACCCCTCAAGTGGGTATCCTCCATATTGTCCCGTGTCTGGTGTTGACACATCCAAAATGCAGCTCGCTGGTTGCTACCCCCCTCAATCAAAACAAGACATCAAGACTTTTCTTGAATAGCCGAGTCCCCCGCCAACGCCGTCCCAATGCAAAACTTGCCCGTCGGCAAACAACTCAAAACAACAAGATCAAATGAGATCGCTGCCGTGTCACCCCTCCACCGCCCAGGTGGAAAATAATGTTGGTCTCCCAGTCAACCGACTGCCCCCCTTTACGCGCGAGAGTGCGAGTACGGCTCGTAGGCCATGTCGCGCTGGGGCTGGCCGTAGCTCTGGGGCTGTTGCGAAAAGGGGCGAGCGAAGCCGCCGCCCTGCTGCTGATAGCTGTGGTCTCCTCCGCCAATGGGCTGGTAGGGGCCCTGCATGAACTTCTCGCCCTCGCCATGGCCGCGGCTGCTCTTGCTGCGATCGGGCTTGCAGCAGCAGATGGTAAAGAGCCAGAAGAGGCCGGCGGCGATCGCAAAGGCGGCAGCGATCCACACGGCCGCGAGGTACCTCATGTTGAAGTCACCCTGCACGCCATAGAACTTGGCAGTAGTCTCGACGGCGCCAACAACGACGACGGCCGTTGCGGTGGCGAGCGCTGCAGCGCCACAGACAGCGGTGGTAGCGACGGCCGAGACGATGAACGTCACGCACGAGAAGGCGCGGCTGCAGTTGGCGAAGATGCCGAAGAAGAGCTCAACGGCGAGGGAGACCAAGGCGA